TATTTGTTGTCTGTCATTGTAGCTGGGATAATTTTACTTATTAAAGCTCATAATCTTACCACTTGAAACAACACTAGCTCTGAAGCTGCTGGTAGACATCGCGGTTGGAATTATCAAAGGTTTTTGACACCTGAGAGACACCGTAGCAACTCCTTTGTGTTTGGAAGTGCGGGGGGTGGGGGGAGGACCAGGGAGGATGATTCAACCACTCAACCACTAGATGTCGCTGAAAACAACAAATCCTACACACTGTGCCTTTAAGAGAGCAACATGATGTGACTCATGTTGTCTGTTGAAGAATGTTCATGGGTTGACTGGGTTATTTTAGTAGTTTAGAATTAGAGGACCTAAATGTTTGAGTTAGTGCTTTAGGGCTAGTGGACCAAATTTTTAGATTAGTGCTGCCCACCACTGATCTTTGCCAAATCTTTAACTATCCAGCATACATTTTCCTCCCAGCTCACTAGAGGAAAAGAGGAAAATCCCCCAGACGTGAATACTGTATCAAAACATGCTTTGACACTTCACTGACTCAGTACAGGTGGGGTTTTACAACAAACAAGGAAGTAAAGAGTAAAAACACGAAAGGAAAGTATTGWAATAAATGCCTCTGGGGGTTTCCAGCTCCATGTCTTATGGGAAAACTTTGAAGTGAGAGGAGAAACAAGATAGTTTGACCAGCTGTCTATAATTCTGGACAAAAATTGTTAATCACTTATTCATTAAAGAACCGTTTTTTTGTGTTGGGTAATGYGTAAGATTGTGCTTGTTTTACTTGCATTTAGCGTGTTCTTGGTAAAATATTTACCCCTATAGATTARTGATCATTTTTATAAATCCTGACGTGTGTAATTCCCAGACTGATGCACCTAAAAAGACTGTGGTGACGCCGTATAAGAGACCCACCCCTCAGGAGATCTGCTTTAAGCGTATGCAGATCGCCCAGGAGCAAGCGGCTCAGCTTTCCGCTGCCGTCAAAGCTGCCTCGCAGACCTCCAGCCCCGGCGTTTCCCGAGAGAAGAAGAGAATAGCTCACCGGCCGAACCCACAGACGACCTCTTCAAAGACAAGTGCGAGCGCCTCTCAGCTCCAGCTGAGCTGCTAAATAAAAGKTCGCAACGTTTTTGTTTACTTTTCGAGGCAAAACCGTGTGTGTTTTTGTCCGAGCAGGTCCTGCACACGATAAACCAGCTTCCAGTGGAGTTTTATCCTCCAGTAGGAGCCTTCAGGGCGTCAGGACCCAAACCACAGCTGGAATTCTGTCCAAGACTTCATCTACGGCCACGCAGAAGAGGATGGCGCACACACCCACCATGAAGGTTTTCAGGACTTCAGACCTGACTTTTTTTTAGATGTTACATACCTACATATAAAGTGCTTGATTATTTTTTTGATTTTTCACGTCTTGTTTGACATTTTCAGAGCACTTCGATGAAGCGTCCGGTCATCCCYGTAGAGTTTGGGGCAAAAGTTCCCACCAACGTCCGCCAGCGCTACCTCAACACCTTCATAGACGAATGTGTCAAATTTTGTTCATCGGAGGACGCTGCCTTCCACATGGTAGGAAGGGATGCGTTTCCTAACCAGCTCCGGCCTCGCTACCTGCTGCCCGAGCTGCTTTAAGAGGTTGTGAAATTCTCGTTCCAGGCTCTCGACGAGGAGAAGCTGGTGTATGAGCGCAGCAGCAGCAAGAACATCTACCTCAACGTAGCCGTCAACACGCTGAAGAAGCTCCGAGGCAGAAGCTGCGCCTCCTCGTCGCCTGCAAAAAGTCTGTGACGTGAATATTTTTCAAATACATAAAGTCAAAGAAAACAGCTTTTTATTTCAGAAAGTTGGCATAGTTTTACCCATTTCTTGGTTCAGATAAAATGAAACAGGAAGTGACATCAAAGGGGAACTCTCTGATCTCAGTTTATTGGAACGTTATTATTTGAACTCTGATTCTTCATCTTTCTGATAGAGACTCAAAATAATCTAAAGAAACATCAGTTTCTTCTCTACAGTCTGGGTTGTAAAGTAACTAAGTACAAATACTTTGTTACTGTACTTAAGTAGAATTTTTGGGTATTTATAC